ATACAAATTATCGATATATGACGACTAGAAGTGGACTCAATTTATTTCTTTAAACTAGATGATGATAACCCACGCGAGGAAGGCGCGAGTTGCCATATTACTAGCATTGTAAAGCCTTTCTAAGGCAATGTGATGCATTTCAAATCTCTTTACATTTGTGGATCGAAATAGTCATTCAAATTTAAGGTTAATTCTTAAATAAAAGATAAAAATGTTTCGATATCACTTTTTTTAAAACACCGAGATCAAGGTATGATATTTTTCTGGTTTAAATATCGTATGTCCAATGCATGGTGAATATTGTCCGATCCATGGTGAATTCTGTCTTATTTCGAAAAAATCGGTTTTTTATGATATTTTCTCAATATATAGGGCACGATTGTGTCAAAAATTTATATTTTAACCACATACTACATTTTAAGTTCCAGTTTGATAATATTCGGTCGGTAGCGATATGGCTAGAACTTGTTGAAGTGCGAGGGGTGTCCGATGCATGGTGAATTCACCCTATATTCTGAGTATCAAAGCATTTTATCAATAATACAAAAGATACCGCTATATCAAATATATTTTTTCATTTTACGCATTGCACGCACGTGCATGCATGTGAGGGTGACCATGTCATCTTGTCTACACTTTTAATATATCTAAATATTTTGGGTATCAAAGCATTTTATTAAAAAAATATGAAAGTAAAAACTATATTAAATATATAAGTCGTTGTAAGCATTGCACGCACGCGCACGTGCATGAGTGTGCATATTGACTAAGTCATCTTGTTTACACTTTTCATATATCTGTATATTCTGAGTATCAAAGCATTTCATCAATAAATAAAAAAGTTATGGCTATATCAAGTATTTTGCTCATTTTACGCATTACGCGTGCACGCATATGCCTGCACGTGCGTGCACAATGACCTTCGTTCCGCAAATCTACAAAACATGCCTATTAACCCTAAAAGGGTTTCAACTCAATTGGAGAACACTCGCGGACAAAAAAGTACCCAAGAAGAAAAATAATAATAGTAAGAAAGAGTAAAAACAATGTTCCCAAACTTCGTTTGGGGAACATAACTAGACGTCTCCTGCCCTATTCCCAAGAGATAAAAATCTGCATGATCAAGAATGCTCTACCAAAAATCTCCTTACACTAAACTCATTACTCACGTGATTTTAGGCTGATTTCCCGCCATACCTCCCAAGACGATTACCTCGCACATGATATAGATAATCATGGCCACTGATACCAGGAGAATGTGCAATGTTCAACAATATAAAAAGAACTGTAAAATCCTTTCAATTAAATAATTTTTTCTTGAAAACACTCGTCTTCATTGTGGAGTTACAGGAAATTTGATGCAACACCTTAGATTCAATGAATGTTACTATATATACAACAATACTACATGTATATGCTATCTTTCAATAAACTATAAAGAGTGCTATGGCATTGATTGATTGATATTTTGTGCTTTCAGTTTTTCTGAATGAGGGGACGCCTACGACCATTTGGTTCGGGGGTAGGGCTGGCAAATTTTGTCAAGTCACGTCACTTATTATCATACCCTTGTAGGACAGAATATTTATTTCAAAGACGACCAGAGACAGATTATTTATTTTCTTCCCTTGAAAAGTTGACTTGACAAAAAAAAAAGGAATCCCCATTATTGAAAGATATATAGGAAAAATCTTTAAAAATCTTCTTCTCAAGAACCACTGGGCGAAAAACGCTGAAACTTACAAGGAAGCATCCTTGGGTAGGTGAAGATTCTAAATTATTCAAATCATGACCTTTGGGGATAGAGTGGGGCCACAATACGTATTACATTAGGAAAATCTGGTGAAGAACAGCAGGGCCAAAGTAACTCAGGTGAGCGTTGTGGCCCATGGGCCTCTTGTTAACTAGAGTAAATTGTTTAATGATCAGATCTTGGTTCCCGGGGATAGGATGGTGCAGCGATAGGGATACATATGGACAAATCTTGAAAATTCTACTGAAGAGCAGCAAAGCTATGATGAATCACATTAAAGTGGAAGCATCCTTATGCAGAACAAGAGGGGCAAAGTGACTCAGGTGAGCGTAGTGGCCCTTGGGCCTGTTTTTTTTTAGTTTAGCTCACCTTAGCTGAAAGCTCGAAAGTTCAAGTGAGCTTTTCTGATCACCCGTCGTCCATCCGTCCGTCTGTCTGTCCGTCTGTCTGTAAACTTTTCACATTTTCAACTTTGATTCCCCATTGTGGCCCAACCCTACCCCTGGGGGTCATGATTTGAACAATTTAAAATCTACACTACCCCAGAATGCTTCCCCGTAAGGTTTAGTTTTCCAGGCCCAGTGGTTCTAGAGAAGAAGATTTTTAAGGATTTTCCCTATATATTTCAATGCCCACCCTACCCCCAGGGTCATGAATTGTACAATTTAGAATTTACATTACCCCAAGATGCTTCCATGTACGTTTCAGCTTTTCTGACCCAGTGATTCTTGAGAAGAAGATTTTTATGAATTTTCCCTATATATTTCAATGTAAAACTTGAATTCCCTATTGTGGCCCCGCCCTACCCCCGGGGGACATGATTTGAACAATTTAGAATCTACACTACCCCAGGATGCTTCCACATAAGTTTCAGCCTTTCTGGCCTTGTAGTTCTTAAGAAGATTTTTTTAATGGCCAAACCCTATTTTTGTCTTTTCTTGATTATCTCCCCTTGTAAGGGGGCTTGGCCATTTGTTTTCACAAGAATGCTTTGTACTAATTTTGGACAAAATCGGCCCAGTGGTTCTTGAGAAGTTGAAAATGTGAAAAGTTTAGAGACGGACAGACAGACAGACGGAAGGACGGACAACAGGTGATCAGAAAAGCTCACTTGAGCTTTCAGCTCAGGTGAGCTAAAAACGATTCCACATAAGTTTCAGCTTTTTTAAGTCCCGCATTTCTTAAAAAAACCTTTAAAGATTTTTAAAGGTTTTCCCTATACATTTCAATGTAAAACTTCAATTCCCTATTGTGGTCCGGGACCATAATTTGAACAATATTCAATTCATACTACCTTAGGAAGCTTTCACCTTAACTTCATCTTTTCTGGTCGAGTGGTTTTTGAAAGGAAGATTTTTCCTATATGATTCAATGTTACACTTTCATTCGTTATTGTGGCCCCACCCTACCCCCGGAGTCCATGATATAATTAATTTAAAATCTACACTACATCAGGAAGCTTCAATATCAAGTTTTAGCTTTTCCGGCCCATTGGGTCTGGAGAAGAATTTAAAAAAAACAACAACATTTTTCTCATATTTCAATATAAATCTTTTGATTCCCTATTGTGGCCCCACCCTTCTCCGGGGGCATGTTATGAACAATTTAAAAATCTTCATTACCTCAGGATGCTTTCACATATAGATTCAGCCTTTCTGGTCCAGCGGTTCACGAGAAGAGGATTTTTCCTATATATTTCTATGAAAATATTTGATTTCCTTTTGTGGCCCCATCCCATCCCCAGGGGTTATATGCATGATATGAACAATTTAGAATCTTCACTACCTCAGGATGCTTCCACAAAAGTCTCAGCTTTTCTGGCTTAGTGGTTCACGAGAAGATTTTCCAAAAAGATTTTTCCTTTATATTTCAATGAATAAACATTGATTCCCTATTGTGGCCCATCCTACCCCGGGGGTCATGATATGAACAACTTAGAATCTATTAAACCTAAGGACTCTTCTACAAAAGTTTTAGGGTTTTCTTGTCCAGTGTTTCTTGAAAATAATATTTTGAAGATTTTCCTATATATTTCACTGTAAAACATTGATTCCCTATTGTGCCCCACCTCAACCCGGGGATCATGATATGAACAATTTAGAATTTTACACTACCTCAGGATGCGTCTACATAATTTTTGGCTTTTTTGGCCAAGCGGTTCTTGAGAAGAAGACTTTTTAATGACCTTACCTTATTTTTGTTTTTTCTTGATTATCTGCTGAAGGAAGCGGGCTTGGGTCTACATTTTAACAATTTAGAATCCCCTGTACCCAGTAATGCTTTGTCCCACTTTGATTAAAAATTGGCCCAGTGCATCTTGAGAAGAAGTTGAAAATGTGAAAAGTTTACAGACGGACGGACGACAGACAAGATAATCAGAAAAGTTCACTTGAGCTTTCAGCTCAGGGGAGCTAAAAAAAGAAAATGTCCCCCAAGTCAAAACTCTATTTCATGTTGGAGGGAGATTGGGGAGTTATCATCTAACAAAATTATGTATCTTAGTAAAGTCTACTTGTGTTCTAATTTATATTGAAATATAAAAGTTTTTAAAGTATTTCACTGAAATTTATATTTCTATTTTTAGTATCCATGGCAACATCGTTCATTGAAATCCAAAACCGATATACAGAATTATGTATCTTTGTGTAGTCTACTTGTGTGCCAGGTATTCAAATGAAACAAAAACTGTAGGAGGAGAAGCATTTTGAAAAAAAATGCTTTCAGACAGACAGACAACGGACACCTTACTTTCACATTAGCTCCTCTGATCTTGCAGAATCAGAACTTTTTAGTGTGTAGGGAATAGAGAGTTCATAATGTGAAATTGTGACACGGCAAATTTTCAAGGAAAATTTTTCCAAAAAACATTGAAGTATTATGGCACAGAAGTCAGTCTTGATTATCACAATTAACAAAAAGCCCAAGGGCCTCATCGGTCACCTGAGTATAATGCAATACCATAGAGGGCACATTGAAGTATACAGCCCCGCCCTTCGAGGCCCCTTTACTGATCATAACTATGCAGTTATCTGCCCAATACCCAGGAGCAGCGAAGAAACCTTTTAAAGAATTTATGCATTTTCACCATTTGATTAAAAAAGGCCTACCCTAACACAAGAACCCCTGACCAAGGGGACATGAATTTCACAATTCTTGAATAGCTGTCATTGTTCATCATAACCATTCACGAAAGCAGATAGCAATCGAGTCACCTTGGTGAATAAGGTGTCATAAAAACACATCCAAATAATCTTGTTAATTACTTTATTTGGGTCATATATAATACCAAGCATCCTCTATCAATTTTAAATTATAAATCTACTGTAATTACATTGTATTTATTTCAACTTTCGAGTATTATACTTTAATCCATAAGGTGTATCTAATCCTGTTTTATGATTTTTTTTTCCGGAATGCATTTTCATAAGTCTCCAAAAACACTCTGAATGGCTTACATGTAACTGTTTGCCACACACATCTTTTTTCTCAAACATACGTTCCTTCATGTTATCTTTCAATTATGCCTTTTCAGCAAATGCTTTTCCACATATATCACGTATATGACATATAGGAGCCTTTTCTCGTTTATGTAATTTTATGAGTCTCTTTTCACTCTTTCAATTGTAGATTCAAAAATCATGATGCGTTCTTAACCTTCTCTTTTTCTTCTTTGATGAACCTCTTTTCCACAGGTTTTTCCTTGGTCATGTTGATAGATGCTTCATTGACACGTTTATTTATGTATTTTAAGTCAATCAAATGACTAACGCTTTATCACAAACATCACAGCAGGTATGTACCTTCAAGTGTTTCTTTAAGTCTCGATCCTGACTTCTTGAATGCCCTTTCAAACAAATCACATGTACATTGTCTATCACCTTTATGTATCTTCATGTGTCTATGTAAAACCTTAGAATGCCTGAATCCTTCCCACAAACTATACAATGTAGAGGTTTATCACCTGTTTGTAACCTCTTATGTTCTTTTAAATTAAAATTTTCAATGAAACCTTTCCCACACACATCAAATTTGTGAGGTTTGTCAAAAGAGTTAGTCCACATGTTTCCTTAAGTGTTCTTATGGAGGGAATGCCTTCTCACAAATATAACATTTAAAAGGCTAATCATGATCACCTGAATGACTCCTGAGGTGCGTTTGTAAGTGACCTGTTTGTTTGTATGCTTTCCCACACACATCACATTTGTAAGGCTTTTCCCCTGTATGTGTTCTCATGTGTGTCTTTAACCTTCCTGATGCAGAGAAAGCCTTCTCACACATTTCACATTTATAAGGTTTTTCACCTGTGTGGATCCTCAAGTGTATTTGTAAATTACATGACTGCCTAAACTGTTTCCCACATATTTCACATTTGAAAGGTCTTTCCCCTGTGTGTGTCCTCATGTGACTCTGTAACTTTCCTGATGACGAGAATGCCTTCTCACATAAATCACATTTATAAGGTTTCTCACCTGTGTGGATTCTCCTGTGTATTCGTAAAGAACATGCTTGCGAAAATACTTTCCAACAAACGTCACATTTGAATGGTTTTTCACCTGTGTGTATCCTCGTGTGACACCGTAACATTTTTAGTGCAGAGAAAGCCTTCTCACACAAATCACATCTATAAGGTTTCTCACCTGTGTGCTTTCTCAGGTGAATCCGTAATGAATATGACTTCTTGAATATTTTACCGCACATGGCACATTTGTAAGATTTTTTGTGTGTCTGCACATGTCTCAATAAGGGTCCTGGTTTCTTGAATGCCTTTTCACACACTTCACATTTATAAGATTTCTCAGCTGAACATGTATGTGTCTTAATATGTCTCCGACAGTTATCAAAACGACTGAATGCTTTCCCACAAACATCACATTTGAAAGGTTTATCACCTGTATGTGTCCTACTATGCGCTTGTAGCTGACTTGATGTAAAAAATGCCTTCAGACATGTACCACACTGATAAGGTTTGTCATTTGTATGTTTCCTTGAGTGTATGTGCAAGTCCCTTAAATGGCTGTATGCCTTCCCACAGATATCACATATATACGGTTTATCACCTGTATGTATCCTCATGTGTGTCTTTAGGTTACTTAGCTGGAAAAATGCCTGCCCACATAAATCACATTTACAAGGTTTGGCACCTGTATGTGTCTGCATGTGTGTCTGTAGAGTACCTGACTGCTTGAATGCCTTCAAACATACCTCACATTTATAAGGTTTTTCACCTGTGTGGATCCTTTTGTGTGTCTTTAAGGTACTTGTTTGGCTGAATGCCTTCCCACAAACATCACATTTATAAGGTTTCTCACCTGTATGTATCCTCACGTGTTTCTTTAAGTGTTCAGGACGATTGAAAGTTTTCCAGCAGAAATTACATTCAAGGGACTTTTCACTTACTTTTGTATTGATGCGACTTCTCGAGTTATCTGTTTGCTTGTCATTTGCATTATAGTTGTTTAGTTTTTCAACCTCTCTTTGAGTCACTGTTTCAGAAGAAAGAACTTCCTTTTCCTTCTGTAAATTGACAAAGATTTTAAGGCTATAAAAAGTATTTCTGTGATGATCTGAATGATAAAAAAGAGGTAGTGTGAGCACAGAGGTCACAAAATGACACTCACTTGAGTACTTGTATATATTTGTATAATCAAGTAAAGTAAACAGATAGACAAATTGAAGTTTAAAATTAAGTCTAACAAAACTGTAATGGTTAGATGTATGGACATATACCCCTACAGCTGCCAACCCTGACGATTCTGGTGTAAGGCTCACGGTTTTAGCGTTTAAAATATGCCTTACAACTTATTTATTTATCCTTAAAATATCTGATTCTCTCATTCAAAGGGTTAAAGTACTGTTTTTTATATAGCTGTCCACCCCCCGTTTTGTAAAACGAAAGTCTTAGTCCTGATACGGCATTTCCTCTTATTGTTATTGTCCATTTCTTTGCTAACTTGGGATCTAAATCATTTCATATTAATCAAAATGAAAATATTTAGAAGTAGCAGGTCTAAACAGTCTCTTGACTTCTTCATTACGACTTTTTATTTTATGAAGTTGGCATCTCTACACCCCCAACACTATATCCCACAGTTTTCAATGTGGGAGAAATAAACATCACTTTTTTTCAAATGAAACAGCGATATATCTTATAAATTTAACTTGAAGGCTTTTGTATTGTGTGCAAAAAAGTATATAGATTTACATTTATAATGGTAATGGGGAACAATTGCACATTTGAACACCAACAAATCATCATTATGCATATCAATGTGATCCTTAAGGTGTATTGCGTGAAAAGTTAAATTAAAGAAGCTATTCTGGATACCTAATTAAACTTCAAACATATTTTTCAAGAAAAATGTTCAAAAACATTGATGCATTGGTGAACAGAATTCACTTCTTTTAACCTCCGTGGGGGAAATAAATATATAAATATTTTTTTACTTACTTTATATTGGTCTAATTTAATGCCAAGGATATTTTCATCAATTTTAAATAGTTAATGAAACGTAATCGCATAGTAATCTAGTCAGTTTTTGGTTATTACATTTTACTCCAAAAGGTATATCACTCTAATTACATGGTATATGAGGGGTTTTTCTTGAATGTTTTTCCGTATGTCTCTATACACATTCTGAATGGCTTACATATAACTGTTTGCCACACCCATCTTATTCTATTCTCAAACAGACGTATCTTTATGTCACTTTCAATTGTGTTTTTTTCAGCAAATGCTTTTCCAAATTTATCTCACATATTGAGGTTTTTCTCTTTATACACTTTAAGGAGTCTCTTTTCATTCTTTGAATTCTCATATTATAAAGTACCTTTTCACAAGCATCCCATCTATTCATTTTTTTTTATTCTGAATTTCAAAACCCCTTTTCCTTACACCCTTCTCCTTACACAGACACAAAAAATGAATAAATACTAGTTTATCAGCATATTTATCTTTATATATCCAATATAGTCACTTTGTTAATGAGCAAATCTATTTGAAAATTCTTTACTGTCGCATAAAAAATTACTAGTAATTTAAACGTCACTATATGTTCTCATCCTCCTCTTTAATTATCTTCTCTAATGATGATGAACCTCTTTTTCACGTTAGTCATGTTGTCACTGACACATACGTGTATTTCCAAGTATTTTAAGTCAATCAACTGAACACCTTCACACACATTACATTTATATGGTTAGCCCGTATGTACCTTCAAGTGTTTCTTTAAATCTGACTGCTTGAATGTCCTTTCACAAACTTTACATTTACATTGTCTATCACCTATATGTATCTTCATGTGTCTCCGTAAAACCTTAGAATGCCTGAATGCCTTCCCACACACTATACAATATAAAGGTTTATCACTTATGTTCCATTAACTTAAATTTTTCAATGAAACCTTTTCCACACACATCGCATTTGCGAGGTTTCTCACCACTTTGTGTCCACATGTGTTTCCAGAAGTATTCCAATATAGGGAATGCCTTGTCCCAAAATCACATTTAAAAGGCTAATCAACCGAATGACTCCTGATGTGTTTTTGCAAGTGACCTGTTTGTTTGTATGCTTTCCCACACACATCACATTTGTAAGGCTTTTCATCTGTATGTGTCCTCATGTGACTCTGTAGCCTTCCTGATGCAGAGAAAGCCTTCTCACACAATTCACATTTATAAGGTTTTTCACCTGTGTGGATCCTCAAATGTATTTGTAAAGTACATGAACGCCTAAATTCTTTCCCGCACACATAACATTTGAAAGGTCTTTCCCCTGTGTGTGTCCTCATGTGACTCTGCAACTTTCCTGATGCAGAGAATGCCTTCTCACACAAATCACACTTAAAAGGTTTCTCTCCTGTGTGGATTCTCCTGTGTATCCGTAAAGTACACGGCTGCCCAAATACTTTCCCGCACATATCACATTTAAATGGTTTTTCACCTGTATGTATCCTCATGTGACTCCGTACCATTCCTGGTGCAGAGAATGCCTTTTCACACATATCACATTTAAAAGGTTTCTCACCTGTGTGATTCCTCATGTGAATCTGTAAAGTATATGACTGCTTGAATAATTTCCCGCATATACCACATTTGTAAGATATTTTACCTGAGTGTGTCTGCATGTGTCTCAGTAAGGGTCCTGGTTCCTTGAATGCCTTTTCACACACTTCACATTTATAAGATTTCTCAGCTGTATGTGTCTTTATGTGTCTCTGACAGTTACCTGGATGACTAAATGCTTTCCCACAAACATCACATTTGTAAGGTTTATCACCTGTATGCGTCCTACTATGCGCTTTTAGCTCACCTGAGGTAGAGAATGACTTCCCACATGAATCACATTGATGAGGTTTGTCATTTGTACGTTTCTTCAAGTGTATGTGTAAGTGGCCTAACTGATTGAATGCCTTCCCACACACATCACATTTATAAGGTTTATCACCTGTATGTATCCTCATGTGTGTTTTTAGGTTACCTAACTGGATAAATGTCTGCCCACATACATCACATTTAAAAGGTTTAGCACCCGTATGTGTCCTCATGTGTGTCTGTAAGGAACCTGATTGGCTGAATGCCTTCCCACATATCTCACATTTATATGGTTTATCACCTGTATGTGTCCTCATGTGTGTGTTTAAGGTACTTGTTTGGCTGAATGCTTTCCCACACACTTCACATTTATAAGGTTTCTCACCTGTATGTATCCTCACGTGTTTCTTTAAGTGTTCAGGACGATTGAAAGTTTTCCAGCAGAATTTACATTCATGAGACCCTTCAATTACTTGTGTATTGTTGTGTATTCCTGAGTTGTCTGTTTGCTTGTCATTAGCAATGTAGCTGTTTAATTTCTCGACATCTCTTTGAGTCACTGATCCGGGTGAAAGAGCTTCCTTTTCCTTCTGTAAGTTGACAAAGATTTTTAACACTATAAAAAGTATTTTTGTGATGAATTTTACGATAAACAAGAGGTAGTGTGAGAACAGAGCTCAAAAATGACAATCCCCGCAGTACATGTATAATATGTGTAATCAAGCAAAGTTAAGAAATAGACAAACTGAAGTGTAAAGGCCAGTCTCACAAGTGTAATGGTTTAGGGACATTTATCCCCAAAGCTATATATCCCGCAGTTTTCAAGGTAGGAGAATTAAATATCCCTTTTTCAAATAAAACAGCAATTTATCTTTAAGATATAACTTTAAGGTTTTGTATTGTGTGCAAAAACGTATGTAGATTTACATGTATGCAGGTGATGGAACAGTTGCACATTTGAACACCCCCAAAAAAAATCTTTTTTTAAATTCATATCTTTCATTTCAATTTAAAATCAGACGAACAATTATTACTAGTAATCAATGAATCATTATTTTTTCGGGGGGGGGGGGGGGGGGTATGTGTGTGTGTTGGGTTGTTGTTGTTGTTATTTATGCATCTATCCTTTCGTAAATGCGTCAACCATACGGCATACATGAACCAGACGTTTGAAAATGTGTTGATTTATATATGATTCAATTTTTCTGGTGAGAAATAAACTTGAATTTTAACAAGAGGCCCAAGGGCCACATCGCTCACCTGAGCACTGTGGCTAGGAAAAAAAGGAAAAATCAGTTTAGTATTGAAAAGCTTAAATGCATAAGTGGTCCCAACCTACCCCTAAAAAGGGAGGGGGGGTCATGATTTGAACAAACTTGAATCTACACTACCTGAGGATGCTTCCATATAAATATGACCAATCATAGCTTTGCTGTTCTTGAGAAGAAGATTTTTGAAGATTTTTCCTATGTACACCTATGTTAAACATTGATTGTCCATTTTGGCCCCACCCTACCCCTGGGGGTCATGATTTGAACAAACTTGAATCTACACTACCTGAGGATGCTTCCAAATAAATATGACCAATCATAGCTTTGCTGCTCTTGAGAAGAAGATTTTTGAAGATTTTTCTTATATATTCCTATGTAAAACTTTGATCGTCCATTGTGGCCCCACCCTACCCCCGGGGGTCATAATTTGAACAAACTTGAATCTACACCACCTGAAGATGCTTCCATATAAATATGACCAATCATAGCTTTGCTGTTCTTGAGAAGAAGATTTTTGAAGATTTTTCCTATGTACACCTATGTTAAACATTGATTGTCCATTTTGGCCCCACCCTACCCCTGGGGGTCATGATTTGAACAAACTTGAATCTACACTACCTGAGGATGCTTCCAAATAAATATGACCAATCATAGCTTTGCTGCTCTTGAGAAGAAGATTTTTGAAGATTTTTCCTATATATTCCTATGTAAAACTTTGATTGTCCAATGTGGCCCCACCCTACCCCTGGGGGTCATGATTTGTACAAACTTGAATCTGCACCACCTGAGGATGCTTCCAAATAAATATGACCAATCATAACTTTGCTGTTCTTGAAAAGAAGATTTTTGAAGATTTTTCCTATATATTCCTATGTAAAACTTTGATCGTCCATTGTGGCCCCACCCTATCCCCGGGGGTCATGATTTGAAAAACTTGAATCTACACTACCTGACAATAATTCCACATGAATTTCATCTTTCCTGGCCCACTGGTTCTTGAGAAGAAGATTTTTCAATAATGCCATTAATTTTTTGCTATTTCGTAATTATCTCCCCTTGGAGGAGGACATGGCCCTTCATTTGAACAAACTTGAAACCCCTTCACCCAAGGATACTTTGTGCCAAGTTTGATTGAAATTGGCCCAGTAGTTCTGGAGAAGAAGATGAAAATGTGAAAAGTTTACGACAACAACGACGCCGACGACAGACAACGGACAAATTTTGATCAGAAAAGCTCACTTGAGCCTTCGGCTCAGGTGAGCTAAAAAGAGTTGGCTTAAGATCCTGACTTTCTTTATATCAGTTGTTCCTTTTTTACCCTTGATTTGGGCTAGCAACTTTTAACTTGGGGCTAGTGATTTTATTGCTGCCACTAGCTCGTGGGCTAGTGCTTGAATTATTTAATTGCACTTCCCTGTGAGATGACGACACTGACTAGTTTACCACGAAATTTATCAGTACTTAAGGCGTAAAGCAAGCTATTATCATATCTTGTAAAATAAGGGGTAAAATGAAACAAACATCATCTGATCAATATGTGGACATATTTTTCATTGTAAAAGAGATAACTTCGGAAAAGTAATATTTAAAAATTTCATATCAGGTGATGCTTATATTTAGCAAAATACCGTATTATGTTTTTTTTTCTTCATATCACAATTTTTGCCAAAATATTCCAAAACAGCGCCAATATAATTTTGAGTATTCCTTTGTTTCCAATTCTCCTAGTGGTTTATCTAAGATATATATATATATAATCTAAATGGTAAACTACTTAAGGTGATAATATGTGAGTTTATTTTTTGTGATCAATAATTTCTCGCAAACATAGCAAAAATACAGTTGTCGTGAAAAATACGAAATATACGGTATTTGGTCCAATTTTAATTTTTCAGTAATATTATACCCGTTATCAGAAAAAATTGCTATACAAACATTACCTTGGATTTTTCTTTGCAAATAAAACTTCAATACAAGGTGTAGAAACACTACATAAGAAATCTTCTCTATAAATTTAAGCTTGGGACACCTTTGTCAAGGGTTCTAGTATTGCATAACAATCCAGCTCTGTTTAGGTGAGTCAAAAAATAAAGAACCAGAACTTTTTAAAATGAATGATTAGAGGGTTCATAATGTGACCCTGTGTCTTCTTAGTACTAAGCCTCCTCCTGTACACAAATCACAAAATATCCTAAGTCTATGTAAGTACAGTTGAACTTCGGTTTCTAGAACACTGATATCTCGAACACCATGGATATATCAAAGTGATTTGGAAGTCCCAAACACTTTTTTTTAAAGTATTTTACCTCTGATGTCTCGAATTCTCGGATATCTCGAAGTTTTTCTCGGTCCCATCGAGTTCAAGATAACGAGGTTTGACTGTCTTAATGGATTCATTTAGGTACATTACGTTATCAATTAAATAAAAGAAGCTATCTTCTATTTCAAACATAAGAATGCTGCATATTTTCCAGGAAAAAATGTTCAAAAACCATGAAAAATAATGAGCAGAATTCACGCCTGTTAACCTCCACGGGGCAATAAATATACAAATAATGTTTTTTAATTAATTTATCTTGGTCTAATATATTGCCAAAATACTTTCATCAATTTTAAATAGTAAATGAAAGGTAATCACATGGTAATCAAGTCATTTTTTGTTTATTACATTATACAATGTACTCCAAAAGGTATATCAAAAGGTATATCACTCTAATCACATGGTATATGAGGGTTTTTGTTTTTTTTTCTTGAATGTTTTTCCATATGTCTCTGTACCTACTCTGAATGGCCTACATGTAACTGTTTGCCACGCCCATCTTTTTTTTCCTCAAACAGACGTATCTTCATGTCACTTCCAATTGTGCTTATTCTGCATATATCACATATATATGAAGTTTTTCTCTATATATTCCAATGAATCTCTTTCCAATCTTTGAATTGCTAAATCATGAAATATCTTTCCACACACATCACATCGATTATTTTTTTTAACATTCTGAATTTCTGAACCTTTTACCCATACACCCTTTTCCTTACACAACAAATTTAAATATATCAGAAAATTTATCTCTATATATCAACTAGTCACTTTGTTAATGAGCAGACCTATATGTGAAAATTCTCTACTGTCACAAAAAAGTTTTAATCAAACGGCATCATATGTTCTCATCCACCTCTTTAATTTTCTTCTCTAATGAACTTCTTTTTTCCGGGCTTTATGTTAGTCATGTTATCGCTGACACGTATTTTCACTGATCTTAAGTCAATCAGTCGACTTAACATCTTCACACATACAATGCAATTATATGGTTTAACCTGAATGTACCCTCAAGTGCTTCTTCAAATCTCCTGGCTGCTTGAATGTCCTTTCACAAACATTACATTTACATTGTCTATCACCCATATGTATCTTCATGTGTCTCCGTAAAACCTTTGAATGCCTGAATGCCTTCCCACATACTATACAATGTAAAGGTTTATCACCTGTATGTATCCTCTTATGTTCTGTTAACTTAAAATTTTCAATGAAACCTTTACCACATACATCACATTTATGAGGTTTCTCATCAGAGTGTGTCCACATGTGTTTCCTTAAGTGTTCTGATACAAAGAATGTCTTCTCACACAAATCACAATTATAAGGTTTATCACCTGAGTGTGTCATCAGGTGTGTTTGTAAATTACCTGTTTGTTTGTATGCTTTCCCACACACATCACATTTATAAGGTTTTTCACCTGTGTGGATCCTCATGTGACTCTGTAACCTTCCTGATGCAGAAAATGCCTTCTCACACACATCACACTTATAAGGTTTCTCACCTGTGTGGATCCTAATGTGTATCCGTAAAGTACATGACAGCTTAAATACTTTACCACAGATTTCACATTTGTAAGGTCTTTCTCCTGTGTGTGTCCTCATGTGTCTCCGTAAGCATCCTAATTCCTTGAATGCCTTTTCACACTCTTCACATTTATATGGTTTTTCATCTGAATGTGTCTTCATGTGTGCATATAGGGAACCTGGTTGCCTGAATGCCTTCCCACAAACATCACATTTATAAGGCTTGTCACTACTATGTGTTCTACTGTGCGCCTGTAGCTTACCTTTTGTAGAGAATGCCTTCCTACATACATCACATTTATAAGGCTTGTCACCTGTATGTGTCCTCAAGTGTATGTGCAAGTGCCCTGACTGGATGAATGCCTTCCCACAGAAATCACATTTGTAAGGTTTATCACCTGTATGTATCCTCATGTGTGTTTGTATGTTACCAAACTGTGTAAATGCCTGACCACACAATTCACATTTATAAGGTTTAGCACCTGTATGTGTCCTTTTGTGTGTGTTTAAGGTACTTGTTTGGCTGAATGCCTTCCCACACGCATCACACTTATAAGGTTTCTCACCTGTATGTATCCTCACGTGTTTTTTTAAGTGTTCAGGACGATTGAAAGTTTTCCAGCAGAAGTTACATTCATGGGACTTTTCACTCACTTGTGTATTGATGTGTCTTCCTGATCGATGTGTTTGCTTGTCAAAAGCAATATAGTTGATAAATTTTTCAGCACCCCTTTTAGTCTGTGATCTGGGTGAATGACTTGTCTCTTCCCTCTGTAAATTGCATAGATTTTTTTAATACTTATTATATTTGTTTGTTTGTTGTTTAATGTCCCTTTCGAGAATTTTTTACTCATATGGAGATGCCACCACTTGCCGGTGGAGACCTGCAAATTTTGACCTATACTCGGCACTTAGGGCCATTGAGCAGTGAGGGGTCTTTTTTGTGCCAGCACCTACTGTGACACGGGACCTCAGTTTATACAGTCTCATCAGAAGGACCGCTCTCCACGACCCACAGTGGGATTCGAACCTGCGACGTAAGGACCAACTCCTTACTCCTCGACTCTAGAGCGAACGCTATAACCACTGAACCACGCGGGTGATTAATTAAGCTATTAATTATGAATAATGTACGAATTAAGGTATTTGCGTAACTCATCACTGATCATTTTAAGATAGATAAACAAGAAGTAATGTTAGCACGAAGCTTACAAATTGACACTCCCTGCAGTGCTTCCAAATGTCTATAATACCAAAGTGTAACCATGGTAACAGACAAATATACTGAAGTTTTAAGGTCAATCATACTAAAGTACAATGGACAGATATTTGGATATTCATCCCATTACTATATATCCCATGAATTTCAAGGTGGGAGTCCGAGAATAAAAGTTTAAACATACCTTTTTCCAATAAATTGGCAACATGATATCTTAATATAAATATGACTTGAATGATGATGGAAAACTTTTAAGATTTTGTTTTGTGTGCAAAAGGTTTGTAAATATTTTCATGTATAGATAAAATGGAACAGTCATACAAGTAAACACAAACAAAATTCTTTTATATATATATCTGTATACACCATATAAGAGGAATTTTTAGCGAGATGCAAATTTAGCGATTCATCCTGAAAAATCAGAATTTAATTCTTGCTAGAAGTAATTTCAGTGATTTTATGGTGCATACAAAAATAATGGTGACCTCCAATGCAGAATAAATAGTTAGTGATATTTAATTTTAGCAATCTTGCATCCTTGCTAAAAATGCAAAAAATTGAATCCTCTCTTAAATTTCTGCTTAATATATGGTAATCAGCAATTTAATATATGAATTATTTATTTTTCTCATTTCAATTTAAAACAATGGCACTGCAAGGTGGAGCATCCCCTTGCAAAGAGCATATCTATAAATTATACAGCAATCCGAACCCAATGCAAATTATGTCACTTCCATTTCGTACAGCACTAACTCACTCACAAACAAAAACACGATTTCGTTACTACTGTATATCCCCTCTAACTCTGTTGCAAGGGGATAATCATGCTAACAAATAGCAGTCAATGGATTATAACAATGAGTACAGATTGATTAATTTTCAGAATTATTTATCAGAATGGAATAAATAAGAATTTGTCTTCATAAGAAATATTGGAAAGTAAACAGAAAACAAACATTTCTTATTTTAATGCAAATTAATTGTTTTAGAATGCTTCTAATAAATCCTGTGAAGCATTTGTAATTGATCACTAGAATTACAGTAAAACACTCTTACAGCAAACATGCTTATTGTAAATTGACACTTACAGCGACATGATTTTCATTTCCCATGGCTTAAAACAAATTTTGAACCTTGCGGATATAACATTTTGAAATTAAATATAAAACTAAGCAAAATTTACCATCCCTTGCACCTATGCTGTATAATTTTATTTTACCGTAAACATGATTTTTTTCCCTCCTTGAACAGAAAGTTTTGGGTTCAAATCATTGCCGGGATATATACAAGTCGATACGAAAGGGAAGCTTTTGTTCCAAGTGCTCAGCACTTGAAAATTGCAGGAATTTGGAGAGACCTTAAAACCTGAGGAGCCATGTTGTGGCAGACATTTGCATGATAAAGAACCCTCACTTCTTAATGACCCTAATCAGTGATTTTTCCAATTTAGGTCCGAATATTGTCCCTTTCCCCTCTCAGAAATTACCAATTTTTTCCCAAATTTCTGTTTCCTTTTTTCCCAAAACAAAACCATAGTCGTTTTTGTTATACTGAATTTTTATGTACGATTTATCTAAAATGGAACGCAATTGTTCTCGGTCATTCAGACTCCTAAAATAATAGTAAGGAACAGCAGATTACTTTGTGCATTTACAAGACCTAGAAAAACACATGGTGTGTGTAAATACATCGTAAGAAAATGTATGATGAATGTGAACTGGTGAAACAGCTTTATTTGTTAATCCAAGTACTAGCAGTTCTACAACAAACATCCCTGATTCCATGAAAATCAAACTGTTTCTACATCCGGCAGATGCAACAAGTACTGCAGAGAAATTGCAACAATACGATTATCTAGGGTAATTAGAAAGCTTTAATAATTAGTTTGAAAAATAAATGATTTGTCATAAATAATGTCAGATTATTCTATCTTCAATGACTACTACGAGAAGGATTTTCTCTCGTCTACCATTATGGCAAAACCAAAAAAAAAATAGAAATATGTCCATAGGACATGAATGCCCCGCCAAGGGGAAATTAGTAATGCAACATGAAAATTTGTATTAATGTATGAAATTTGATGAGAATATCTTGAATAGTTTCTTTAAAATTGAAATCTAAAAAGTTGGATATAGATGATAAATTCTCATCAAATTATGTATAAGTGCATAAGCTTACAAATTTAAGAAAAGTGAAGTCAAGGTCACAGGAAAGTTCAAGGTCAAACATTTTTGATGCAGTTGAATAGTTCTCACAAATACGTATCAGCATATTAAGTTTGATAAAAATATATTGAAAGGTCAAAAAATGTTGATGCAGTTTAATAGCTCTCATCAGTGTGTATCAGCATATGAAGTTTGATAAAAATATCTTGAATGGTTTCTTCTAAACTGAGCTAAACACTTATTTCAGAAAAGTGAGGTCAAGGTCAAAAAATGTTGATGCAGTTGAATAGCTCTCATCAGTGTGTATCAACACTTGAAGTTTGATTACACTATCTTGAATGGTATCTTTAAAACTGAGCTAAATACTAATTTAGGAAAAGTGAGGTCAAGATCAAAGGAAAGGTCAAGGTCAAAAAATGTTGATGCAGTTGAATAGCTTTCATCAATATCTATCAGCATAATAAGTTTGATGAAAATATCTTGGATAGTTTCTTTGAAACTGAGCTTTGAACTGAGCTAAACACAAAGTGCGATGGAAGGACAGACAGAAGGATGGAAGTATGGAACAATGGAAGGATGGAAGGATGGAAGACAGACATGACAAACACTACATGCCCCGGCTATATTAATGGCAGGGCATAAAAAAGGAAAATATAGGTTGGTCACAATGACAACTTTCAAAGATTAAAAGAAAATATTAAAAATTTAGAACTGTGTCTCATTTGTTATTCTGTAGTAAATAAATTGAATAAATGATGTTACATTTACTGTCTTATATTTTTTTTATTTTACCTGCCTATTAAGGTTAAATTACAACCTTTTTCTTTTTTTCCCAATCTGATACAAATGTCGACGATTTTTCCCAATTGTAAAGGCCCAGGCCCCTTTTAAAAATTGTATAAAAATCACTGCTAATTGCCAAGTAAAGACCTACATGTAAGTGTGTAGTCCTTTGCAAAAATAAGGTGATGTCCTACACAGCTAAGTAAAGGACCCCCATACTTATATCACCCTATGCACAGGTTAAGGAAAACAATTATGATGTCATATTAAAACAATTCAAATGAATCTTGTTGAATAAATGCCAAATGAATTGTATTTTTTCATAAAACTCAAATCCTTCACTACTCATAATTAACCCAAATCAATGTGCAGCTTATCTTGTCATAAAAACACTACCCAAATGTAGAATGAAAGCCAGCTTGATTACCAAAGTAAGGCACTTGTGCAGTAATGTGCTTGAATGACAGGCACGGGCTCTTGAAAAGTTAAAAAAAATCAATAAATTATAACTTTTTCACCATAAATTATGAGTTTTTAAATACATGTAGCTATTATCCTTACTTTTTCAAAAGTGATGAGAGCTGGTTGTGGTCAATTGCTTTATTCCGTAATTTTACATTATTTCATTTTTTTTTCAAAACTTATTACGTCCACGTAGGAAGTTCATAGAATAAATTTTACATTATTCCTGAGCACGAGGAAGTTGCTCCCAGCACTTTTCATGCTGAGGAAATGTCTTAATGATACAATTTATTTTCAATTCAATTTCATAGTGAAAAGATATCCTTATATCGTTGAACTTTACGATCTTTGTAGCTGTGCATATTTTTTTCTAATTTTAAACTTGTCGCTTGACAAACAACGATGTAAATGATGTTGATTTGGCCGAACTCAGCAGACACCTGATATATACATATGCATATATACATATGCAAATAGCAGAATTCCCATTTATCAAAACTCATGCTGTTTAAAAAAAATATCCACACCATATTCATTTTCTCAGTCTATTTTAAGGTGTATTTTCTATCAGTGTCCTTAACCTAGCTGCGTATATGAATGAAAAATTCTCCAAGGGGACATAAAACAATGTACATCAATCCAGCACATTTAGATTATTAAGAATTTCCTACTTTTCTTAATAGTTCAGTGACATGTTACTGTTTTAACACGGTTAAATGTGTTTGTTTTTTTTCTGGAAAATTCCAAATGTGCGTGAACTTGAACCATCAAAGAAAGACTTTCAAAGCAAAACAAAAAATACAAATTTGTTTAAAAACAAATAAAGGTGACACATGCCTTGTTTCACAGTGAAAATAAGTTTGGCTTGACCTTTTTACACTTAGAAAAAAAAATATTTAAACCACTTGTGTTTTTGAAGTGTTATAAACATGGCAATATATAAAGGGAGTAAGCCATTTCATTATTTTTTTTGCATGAGTATTATTGAAATTTCTACTAATATTATCTAGAACAAAACATTAGGTCACATTTCATTTTTTCAAGTTATGGAGGAGTATAAATAGTTTTGCTGAAAAAAAATATTGAGAAGCCACTTGTATAATTATGAAAAGCAAATATGCATGCAATTTTGTTTGTTCAAAATCCTTCCACTTTTAGAAATAGTTCCCACAAAAACTTCTTTAAGAAGCATTTGTTCTCTTTTTGACCATTGGTTTTGTTACAAACTTTGTATATTGTTAAAACAGACAGACGGATGGATACAGTGATTACTTTTCGACACAACCATCTTTACACAGGCCCAGGAAAATTGTTTTACCTTCATTGTTTTCTGCTGTTGTTTTTCTCCTTCTGTATTCACAGAGTCAAAATTCCCAAATGTCTGCCTCTTTTCTTCAACTGAAATGATTAATCAGTGAAGACAATTAAATTCTTTTTGTTACAAGAGTTCAATCAACCAATTGAATCAAGAACACTGGAGAGTACTTGGGGCACCTTGAAGAGTGTAGCAGCTACATGATGTAGTGTAACTGATATGATTTAGCATACCTATGACCCTGCTACTCCTTATTTTTAAATTTTGAATTCTAATTACAATTTTAAACTTCTCATATAACCTATTGTGGCATTGCCCCAAGCCCCGAGCCTTGACCTGAAGAAACCTGAACCAGGACCATGAGGACTATCTCAGATTGTGTAACAGAGGCATTTCTGTGCCTCTGCTGGGGATTGAAACCGTGGCCTCTGGCTTGCCAGTCCAGTGCTCTACCAAATGAGCTAAAGGGTTAACCCACTAGCCCAAGCTAGTAGGATGGCGTGGATCTTACACTACCACATTGTATGCAGATTAATATGATTACAGTATTCATGGCTTCAGGTCCTTAATAAGGCCATCTTAGGAAAAAAAAAGCGTTTGATTGCCCTCTCCTGACTCAGTATAAAGAATATTGAGTTGGTAGGTAGAGGAAAAAATTTATCAGTTGAAATGAATGAATTAATAAATTAAAATAGTTGTTACTGGGATGAGAAAATTCTGAATTGAATTTAAAAAAATATTGTTTCTTGAATGTTTAAATAACTTTTGAGTCAGGCCGATTTTAGTCAGTTGGTCAGGAGCGGGCAGAGAGATAGCCTACTGAAGATTTTTTAAAGATGCTTTCCTATACACGCCTAAGTAAACCTTGTGGCTCTATCTTATCCATGAGAGCTTTGACCTGAAGAAATTTAAATTTACACTTTGTCAAAAAGCTTTTACATAATTTTCACCATTTCTGGCCCACTGGTTCTACAGAAGAATAGTTTTAAAGATATATAACCTATTTTCCTTTTTCTTAATTATCTAATTTAACAATACCTGGCGTTAAATGTGGCACAGTGGTTAGAGCCTTTGCTCTAGAATTGCGGAGTAAGGAGTTGATCCTTATGTCGCGGGTTCGAATCCCACTGCAGGACATGGAGACAGGTCCTTTGGATGAGACCGTATGAGTCCCCTGTCACAGTAGGTGCCGGCGCGAAAAAGTTCCCTCATTGCTCAATGGCCCTGAATGTCGAGCATAGATCTAAATTTGCAGCCCTTGACCAGCAAGTGCTGGCATCTCAATATGAGTGAAAAATTCTTGAAAGGGATATTACAAAAACAAACAAAAAGAACAATATCTGGCCTTTCATTTACAAAAAAAAAAAATGAATCCCCTTTCTGCAAGGATGCTGTGTGCCAAGTTTGGCTGAAAATGGTCAAATGGTTCTGGAGAAGTTGAAAATTTCAGAGTTACCAAACACTTCAGCATTTGGCTAAGCTGAGATAAAAATACAACAACAGCAATCAAGTACATTCATTTAACACCTGCATTTATATGAAGATATCCCTTGTATACAGGAGCACTTTGGAAACAAGAAACTTGATCTTCCATCAAAGCTCCATCGAAGTTTTAGGATACTGTATTTCAATTTGATTTTTTTCCTTTAAAGTCCTCTAACACAATAAACAATGAATTCATAAAATCCCCTTAAGGAATGTGCATTGGTATTTGGAATTCAATAACTCTGGGAATACATTACAAAGTACAGTAAAACTTTTTTTTATAAAGAACTCTTATAAAGAATTTATAAAGGAATCTAAGCTACAAAGAACCATTGAAGAATTTTCACCATGTTCCTTATACTGAATTAAAGAATTTGGGTCACATGGGGCCAAAATTTGAGGTCCCAATAACTTCCTTACCACTAAATTTCATGTATACATTACATTTATAACTTTACATACCAGCGGACTCATTATCATATGTAAGGTCTTCAGTATAAGGTGAATGCCTGGACTTGAACTCTGACATCATGACCTTATTATTGAACTCTGCCATCATGTCCTAATTATTGCTCTGAAACCTGTAACAAAAGAAACAAATCATTAATATGCATTCTTCTCAAAAATTATAAAAACATATATTTTAATATATTCATAAATATCTTAGTGATGTCATTTTAAAGAGCTCTCATCATCAATCTTATAAATGCTCTGATCATAGGAAGCAATATTAGTTGGGGGTGACAACTGAACAATATAATTGATAATAAAAAAGAAAGTAAAAGGTGACAGGAAACATAATTATTGAGGGGGAATATCCATAAAAAAGCTTTGTCTTCAGTGTCTTCTATTAGTCAATTTCCTCTAAAAAGCTTATGATCTAAAGCCTTGTGTATCTACACAAAATGCAGACCAATGCACTTTAATCTAACCAGTGTTTGAAACTCACCGTAAAATAAGCTAGACATGCAGGACTGACTGCTAGTAAATGTTGTCAGCCCTGCCAAAAATAGAGAAGCCCAAGAAAATATTTCTCTTTTATAAATTCATTTTAGCAATAATGGGAATGGGGCCAGATCACCATATCTTCGATCCTGAACCTATAGATTGACGAATTCTACCCGTTTGTTTGTTACATTTTATTGGTTGATTTAAGTAAATATTTATCAAATATCTAAATTTTAATTTATGGAAAATTTTTACATATCTAGCCGGGTGTCGATACATGCAAATATGTTTGCCCATGACAAAATTCGTGCGTCTCGGGAGGTCGGGCGTTTACATATATTCATATAAAAAACACATTCAGAAAGCGCTCACTCAAATGTACGCTAACTTGTTAAAAAATCAATTTCCGCCAAACATTGTACATGCCAAATAAAATACATTTTCAGTATTCCTCGCATAAATATAGGAATCGACAGTACATGCTCTTTGTTAAATACATGTATATGCACTTTTTTAGACTTTGTTATACATGTTATAGAAATTAACCAACATACGACATCATGTGATGTCACAGTCTAGACATTCCAAAAGTCATATGTGGATTGAAGAGGTGGTTCTAAGTTAAAAGTGAAAAGGTTTTCAGTAGGCCTAATAAATTGATGAAAGGTTAAAAGTAAGTACCTTGGAAATGTCTCAAAGTGGAGACCCCCAGCTCCCAAAGTCTTCACCTTGCGCTCTTTTTTTTTTTAATTCCTCTTAGGCCTATAACTTTTATGGCCAAGCTGTAAAATTGAAATACTGTATCAATCGACTGCATGCCATAGAATGTCTTATGAAACTGATGAGGAATTCACATATTTTCTAGAAAGGGAATGCTCATTCATTACAATTTTTATAAGGGAAAGGGGGTGGGTTGCAGAGATGTACGTTATCCACGTTCAGGTGTCTGTAGCTTTAGAACCTGTTTCAGTTATTTAAGCCAATTTAGGAGATAGGTGCCAGTCCATTTTGTGTAACGTAAAATTAACAATCCAGAACGCAAAGGGGTGAGGGTCTCTGAACAGCCTATGTTTCTCAGCACTATCTTAGATCATTAGAGTAATAGTGAGCGCAGCGAGCTCTAACGACAACACCTGGGCGAAGAGAAAATTCGGACTTACACATTGATCCAAACGAATTTTTTTCTGCAGTAATTCTGGACCCACAATGCATCGCTTCTTGTTCTTGCTGCTAACCTCGTTCACGCGGTTACAACTAAAAATTCACAAATAATAAACTCACCTTGATTTAATGGATATTGCATATAGATAGTAGATTAAACGTTCTTTGTTAAAATTTTTGCACTTTTCAAACTTCGTTTATGGAAATTAACATACGACGTCATGTGACGTTACAGTCTAGAGGTTCCAAATGTCTCGTGCGGTTTGAAGAGGCGGATCTTAAAATAGCATTGCCAGAAGGATAGGTGGCGCTGCGCAACATGAAAGTTAGGATTTCGCGGGAAAGTGTCCCAACACATACTACCCTTGAATTACGGCTTTTGACTTGTTCCCTGTAGATTCTGCTGATTTCTTTGGTTGGTATTTTTAGAGTAGCGACCTTTACCTTTACGTACTGACAAAAAACCGGGGAAAATCTCACAATAGTATGGTAATTATCATCATTGAAAATCTTGGATTTGCATTTTTACAATCTTAACAATTTATTACAGTGCTTCAACACATTTGAGTTAATCAACAAATACCTCTTAATATAATTGGCACCGTTTTTAATGTCATTATTAGCCGTAATATATTGAAAACACTGAAATATTCAGGTACCCTCAAACTGGAAGTGACCTGTTTAGGGAAATTCGAACTGTAAACAACTTAATGACAAACACGAGTACTGACTCGAAGTCAGTCTATGAGGTACATATTTTCTTTAAAATTCTAAAGAAGATTTTGTAGACATATATTGCAAACTTGAAGAATCAAAATTAGAATTATTAAAGCTATGTATGGCGTATCTGAGCTAAAAAAAAAAGTACTTGTACGAGATTGAGTGTAGATATAAATAACGTTCAAATAAAAAATTTCACCGATTTTGAACTTGGATATCCTCATGTTTTATAGTTAAATGTCTGTTATTTAAATGTAGTCGGTAAATAAATTGGTTATTGTGTTAAATTCTTGATATCTGTTGAAAAGCGATATTGATTTAAATTTAAATTACAGAAAAGTTCTGTCTTTATACAATTTAATAAAATACATATTAAGATTTTTTTTTATTTTCATGAAATTTATTTATTTAATAATAAATATAAAGTCACGCATTGCATATTTTTTTTTATAAGTTCAGATAAATAATCTGAACTTATAAAAAATATGCAACGCATGACTTAATTTATATTTATTATTAAATAAATAAATTTTATAAAAATGTTTGAAAGTTATGCATTTATAAATATACTGCTCCCCTTTGTATGTTATGCTTTTACCATTCAAGAAGATTTTTTGTTTGTTTGTTGTTTAACGTCCCTCTCGAGAATTTTTCACTCATATGGAGACGCCACCACTTGCCAGTGGAGAGCTACAAATTTTGTCCTATGCTTGGCACTTACAGCCATTGAGCAGTGAGGGGTCTTTTTCGTGCCAACACCTACTGCAACACGGGACCTCGGTTTATACGGTCTCATCCGAAGGACCGGTCTCCACGTCCCACAGTGGGATTCAAACCCACGACGTAAGGATCAACTCCTTACCTCGCGACTGTAGAGCAGACGCTCTAATCACTGCGCCACGCGGGCGACCATTTAAGAAGAATGGATTTTTTTAAACCAATTTTGATGGTGATGGTTCTTCAGTATGATTTTTTCCTACTTCGTTAATTTGAATTCAAGTTGAAAATCCTGTTTCATACCCTGACAGGAAATATCTGTGCTAGTAATATTAATAGTGTGACCTGTTTTCAATGTCACAATCACTGAAAATTGAAAGAATATTTATAGATGACTTGTAAATAATTAAAATATTGAAATTCCATCCATTTATCATTTATAAAAACAAGTTACATGTATAATTATTGATGTCAGTAGTAAATGAAATTTATACAAATTGAATAAATTGTACATAAATTAGCAATATAAATACAATATAATATGCATGAATTTCATTTACTTCCCACATCAATAAATATAACTTTTTTTAATGAATGAAATATGGATGGCATCTCAATATTTTACTTATATATAATTTAATTCTGGTTGTAACGCAGTATTTGATTGGATAAAAAATTTACTTTATATCGTATAAAATGGGTTGCCTACGTCACAATGGCTTGCGTCAAAAACGTATCGATCCGCCTGACGTTATATTCAAATTTTGTACAAATTGAAGTCATTTTAATGGACAATCATCTTTTTTTTCTTACACCAAATTAATGAAAATTAAATTATAAGGAATGAATTTAATAGCTACCCAATTTATACGGTATAAACTGGGTTGGAACAGTTTATGCTTTTTTATAAACCGCTTTGCGGTTTATAAAGCGTAAACTGCCCCAACCCAGTTTATACCGTATAAAATGGGTAGCTATTAAATTCATTCCTTAAATAAAGTAACTTTGTTGTAATACAAGTTTTCTTTCAATTTTCATTGATTGTCACATTGAAAACAGGTCACATTGCTCATTTTCATAGGACATTCTGGATATTAAATTAATATTTGGTAAGTGGTTACTGCCTTATTTTATAAGAAGGAATGTATAAAAACACATTAATGAAAAAAAAAAATTGCCAGAAATCAAATATCTTTCAAGTTTTAAAGCTGGGACAACTTTCTTCGATAAACGGGAAAAATGCTTCTTTTACTGCCGAGGGGGTTACCCTAAGAATGTGTCTAACAAATACCCATTTTAGAATATTTTATTAATTTTTTTTTTTTAGAAAAGCAATGTTTTATCATTAAACTACAAAATACAATTGCAGAAAACTCTACAAGCATATTTTTAAATTTTGGTCTGGCATTGCTACTTAAAATTAAGTGAACAAAGCGCTCGCCCCAACGGTCGCACCGTCAACATATTGGGTGAATTCACCATGCATCGGACACCCTTGCACTTCAACAAGTTCTAGCGATATCGCTACCGACCGAATATTATCAAAATGGAACTTAACATGTAGTATGTGGTTGAATTATAAATTTTTGACACAATCGTGCCCTATTTATTGAGAAAATATCATTAAAAACCGATTTTTTCGAAATAAGTCAGAATTCACCATGGATCGGACAATATTCACCATGCATCGGACATACGATATTTATACCAGAAAAATATCATACCTTGATCTCGGTGCTTTAAAATTACTGATATCGAAACATTTTTATCTTTCATTAAAAAATTAAACTTCTAATTAAATTTGAATGACTATTTCGATCCACAAATATGAAGAGATTTTAGTTGCATCACATCGCCTTAGAAAGGCTTTACAATGCTAGTAATATGGCAACTCGCGCCTTTGTCTCGTGGGTTAAAATCATCTAGTTTAAAGAAGTAAATTGAGTTCACTTCTAGTCGTCATATATCGATAATTTGTATTTTCACTGAAAATTTAGAGTTTCTATTTTCAATTTCCGTAAAAAACAGCTGT